TTAATATTTCCGTTAGGAAGACCAGAAGACCGTTGTAAAATAAATTGAAACTTATGCCCATGGGCTGAAAGTGGTTCTGTTCACTGAAATATTTTTTCTCTCACTTGTCAGAGCAGTGTGGAAGCAATGGATGCTGATCTGAGACCTATGAACTATGTTGTTCGAACAGGAAAAATATGTGAAGCAATGACACCAAACAATCTGCTGATTGAATTTTTATCTTGCAATTACCTGTGTATATGTCATCATTAAAACAATAAAGCACAGAGACTAACTATTGAATGCAGGTACACAGACATTCTTAAATATTTATATGGACATGCTCAATTGCTATCATAACAACACCCAAGCAGGTTTCAGAACAGCTTCCCCAAAGAACCTCAAATTCACAGAGCAAAGCAAAACAGTACATAATCCCACAGATGGACTTGATTGTGATTCATGCGTGTGCCACCTAGCATTGCGATTGTTAATAAAATTCTCAGTAAAAACTGGAATTTGAGAAGCAAATACTAAACACAAGTTCAAAGGAGAGACAAAATAGGAAGCATTATATTGGGTCAAGCCATGCACTTTATCGGTGATAGCAGTTGATGAAATAGAATCTAAAGCCACTGCTACAATTCAAGGCACTAATGGATTTCCAATTTAAAATGCTACATTTCCAAGCAGTAAAAATAGTTATTTCAACCATGTTGGATAGTTGCTGCCAAGTTTAGGTCTCAACAGACAGAACAGAATAAGAACAGAAATATACCCAAAAGCTATCCCCACTCCCTCACTTTCTGGACATATCATAGAGTCAGTCTGTTGCTACATTTTATTCACAACACATAGAAGTGTAATAAAATAATGTGTTAATTAGAATTGTAATTCCAATAGTTTCAGTATAGATACAAAGCAAGCAGACTCTGATATTTATTTTCACAGAATTCAGTTACAGTTGTTTTTCATTTTTATTTCCAAGGCTACACTGTACCTCCAGAAAAGAATGAAATTCTGCTTTGGGGTTATTAGTGATTTGAAGACAGTGTCTTTGAATGTTGAAATACTGACAGATAACTTGCCAAATTTTACAGGAATTAAGGATAACAGGATTGCATGGGCCAGATTCCAAATCCTTGTTGATTTGCGGAATGGGAGATAGTTCAATGGCAGGTAGTGACATTGTTGGAATCCAGTCTCAAGCCAAGAGGAGGCAGAATATTAAGGACAAAGGACCAAAATGTAAAATATACACAAACAATAACAACAGAAATTAAATAGGTTTAAACCTCTCTTGGTTTTGGCAACACGCAAGCCCTAAAACTATTTTGGTTCAAATAAATTAGTCATTTTTGTTTTGCATGAAATGTCCCAAACAGATATTTGGGCACCAAAATATCAAAAACACATAGGGGCATTTCAATGCTCATTGTTTATTTTAAATGAAATTTACTCTGTACTAAAGGAATATCCTTCAGATAAGATATTAAGCTGAGCCCTGTGGGGAGGGTGGGATCAGCTCTCACTCAGTAGAATCACTGATGTGATATCCTGCATTCATTTTAACTCCCATTTATAATGTGGGCTTTAAGAATTATAATTACAATGCCGTTACAGCCTGCAGTGAGAGAAGCAGCAGCGATATGGATGTGCTGACATCAGATGCTGTTTCGCCTGCTTCCATAGCATTTCATTTCCAGTAGATTCCTAGTTCCGTGCTGGAAATGTCATGTGCACAGGTTGTCAACATGCCTACAAAATCATCAACTAGTATATTGGGTGATGACAACATCCAGTGTGAATGTGCTGGATTGCAAAATTAAAGGGGGCAAAAGGAGCAGAGCCTTATTATTGGTTTGTCCACTTTTGTGCGGAACTTGCTGCCTCTGTAAGGTGAATGCAACAGAATTGGCTATGTTTATACCATTCATATACCATATTTATATACAATATATATATATAAAGTGTAGTGTGTGATGCCATCACATGCATCTGAGCATCTTAAGGGAAAACTCGGTTACTACATACAGACTGTGGCAGGTGCAACAGTCGAACCTGCCATAAAACTAAAGTGCATGCTCACTGCATTGTTTAGCATAAAATAGTGCCACTGTGGCAGCTCTGGTAATTTGGGGCAAAAAAAGCTAAACCCAGGATTAGATTTTTACAGCAAGAAACATAACCTCTTTTCTACCTCAGTCAATCCTATGTGTGACTGTAGTCCAAATCAAAAGAAGAAAAAAGTAGTAAGGAAAGCAGCCACAGCAGAGTCCATTTTCATGGTTCTACAATTTTTCTTGTTATGTAAATTCAAATAAAAAAAAAGTAAATTTGCTCATGGTTGATATAAATTTCAAATCTCGCTAAAATAGTTTTTTTGTGTTCAGTAATTTATTTTACTACTTATGAACACATTTTACAAGGAGCACTAAAGGCACACATTTTAAGGAAGACGTTTGTGTCCAGAGGGCTCTTGCATACAAAATGCAAAGCCTTCAAAATCCATTAGGTTGAATGACAAGGTCCTTAACTTTTTATAAGAAATAATCAATATCAGTAGCAAGGCAAACTTTTGTTATGGTCTAATCAAAAGAACTTTGAAAATGTTTGAAATAGCAGTTGTCCCTACTGGTTTCTTGTTTTTGACCGTATATGATTTTTCAGCAAAATGAACTTTTATAGAAGTCCATATAAATAAATTATTATTGCAAAAAGAAGAAAGATGTGTCAAATACAACTGAAAGGCAGATGTTATATAGTGATTGGGCTTCTCAGCCACCTCTTTGAGTGTATAGAGATCAATGGCTACTGTAGGAACAGCATGTACAATGAGGTTTTCAGCTAATTGAATCTATATACCAGCTTATGGTGATATGTTGTACTTTAAATGAACTGATAGCAGAGATTACAGGAACATTGGATGTATTCTATGAACAAGAGTTACACTGGATAACAAAAATGGATTTTTGACTAATTGACCCCAATCATGTCAAGCGTACAGCAGTGCATTTTTAATATCATCTCAAGTAGAGTGATTTCTGCCTACAAATAACACCCGTATCATTTATTACGAAAAAAATATTTAAAAAAGGTTGGTAATAGCTTAAATTAAATATTAAATTGACTTATATTGCTGTACATCAGGAAAACAGGCTAAGCAAAGCAATGATAATTTATCTATTTTGAAGCAAAGTAATAATGTTCTAGCCATGAAATGCTGCAACTAGTGAATCACAGAAGCTCACCGCACATTTAAATTCTTCATTTGTTTTTCCACACTACCATGAACTAAAGGCAACAAGTTACATAGGGGAAGTGTTTTGGATGCTAATACTACTTTTTATGCTGTCGTTAAATTACACTCAAAGATGTATTACTTTCAGCATTTATGTAGCATTGGGAGCAGGAAGTCTGATTGCCAAAGTGTGAAAGAAGGCCTGAATGAAACACACTCAGGCATTTTTTTCACAGGTTGATGGAAACTGATGTAACAATCCTTGCGTTTGATATAGTGCCACATCATCGAGACATCTCAAAGCACTTCAGAGGATTTTACTGTGAAGCATAGTGACTCGAGGTGACCTTGGCAGCCAATTTACACACAGCAATGTCCCACAAATAGTCATGAAGTGATGGACCAGTTTTATTTGGGGGATTTGGCCAGGACATGGGGAGAAACTCCTTTCTCTTTTTTGAATTGGGGCATGGTATCTTTATGTCCACCTGAGCAGGCAGACAAGACCTCAGATTAACATCTGATACAAAGGACAGCACCTCCAACATTCCAGCAAACTCCCAACACTTGATTGGAGTGTCAGTCTAGACTAAGAGTTCAAAGTTCTGATGGTGGGCTTAAACATACAATCTTCTTCTACAGAAATGAGAATGCTGCCAAATGAGCCAGGCTGACACCATATTAGGCATCATACTAGGCATTTTGGAATATCTCAAATTAAATGGCCAAAATAGTCAAATTTAGCATTTCCCATCAGTTCTTTGAATATTTAGTGAATATTGAAAATGAAACCAAAATATATGTACAACAAAAACAACTTGGATTTATGTAGCGCCCTCCACGCCGCACGGCGTCTCAGAGCGCTTCACATAACGGATCCTGGGACCGAGCCAGGGGGAAGGGGGGGGGGGAAGGTGACCAAAGGCGCAGTCGAAAAGAAAGGTCTTCAGCAGAAACCTGAAAATGGGAAGGGAGGGAGCGAGACGAAGGGAGTGAGGAAGGGAGTGCCAGAGCCTCGGGGCATAGTGGCTGAAGGTACAGCCGCTGAGGGTGGAGCGGAGACCTCGAGGGACGAGGAGGAGGCCAGACCCAGAGGAACGAAGGCAACGGGTACTGTTTTGAAGAGAGGTCAGAGGGTGCAGAGGAGTACCACAGAGGAGTACATCTGGAGGACAACACCAATATACTGATTTAATTTCCCTTTTGTTCATCTATTATATAATTGAATTACAAGAATTTCTATGGGAGAATTTCTATGGGAAAAAAGCTTTATTTTATGTAATGTTCACTGGACAGTTTTTAAGTATTTTATTACAGCAATTTTATTGAACAATCTTTCATTGTCACTGAAGTGGAACATTAATGGTAATCAATAGAACCAACAAGCTTGGAAGTATTGCTTTCCCAATACACATTCATATTGAATGTCAAACTCTTATGCATTGCTATTTTCACCTTTTGAACTGTATCTGTATTCTGTAGGACATGAACAAGACATACTCCAACAACAGTGCTACACTAAAAATTTTAAGAATTAAGAGAATAAAGTGCACAATTTAAGTAATATTCAGAGATTGAAATAACTTGTCTTCTGGTGCTCACGGGGTATAAAATTGGGAAAATTGAAAAAGATAGCTATTAACTGGATGTTAAATGTGTTTTTAACATGATATTTGTGATATTTTTTAGAGACATGTACTTTCATAAATTAAAACAGCAAATTAAAACTAATTCTATTTTTGAAGTGGTGAGACATGCTCCCATGGTTTGCAAAACTTACCAAGAATATCGACCTGAAGTTTTTGAGATCAAGGAAGAAATCCTCTATGCTGATGTTTTTTGGATTGAAGACCAAGTATTCTCCCAGTCCTTCATACAGCTTCATCATGTTTCCATACATGTTTGAAAGCTTTTCATACTGCTCTCTGGCATGTTTGGCAAAGCTGTAAAACCTCATTAAGGTTAATATAACCATTTATTCAGATAAACACAACATCCTTTAAACTTCAACATTTCTTTCAAACTTTGGAACAGTGGCACAATGGATAACACATCTGACTACAGATCAGAAGGCTCTAGGTTTCGCTCCTGGCAGGTTTGATGAGTGGTTACTTTAAATTATCAGGCGAGGTTAAAAAGATGTGGGCGTGTTCTCTTCGAAAAAGACAAAACTTGAAGGTAACTTCATTGAAGTTTTCAAGATTATGAAGGGGACTGACACAATTGAATCAGAAAATTGCTCAGGGTTCAAATACAAAGTGGTAAACTAAAAATAGAATTCAGGAATAAGAAAAGTCAGGCAGAATTTGTATTATCCAGAACAAAGACTATAATAAAGGTTTTTTTGAATGAGAAAGGCAGGAAAGGCAACTTTTGATAAAATAATTGTGTTTCAGAAGTAACTCAAAGTATTGTTGGAATTTCAGACAGCAGTCCAACATTTTGAAAAAATCTTAGGTTTGTATAATTCCCTCATCCCACGAACAAAAAATAAGCCTCCCACCAGTCAGCAGAAAGCGTGCGATCATCTCCATCGAAACAAGTCAACGTTCGTATGAGTTCACCCATTATTTTACCAGTCATCAACTTTTCTGCCAGCTGTAAATCTGGATTTATTTTTGAACAAATATTTATTAAATTTTGTTTTACATATATCCTACGAATGAAACAGCATCCTATTAATCCAAATTGTTAATAAAAATGGGCTCTGCCAATGCAGCTGAAGACGCACACAATGTATGCACACTTAAACACTCTCCAGCTTCTCACGCTATTTGCAAGCTAATTTGACTGCCTCTGACACACATCTGTGCCTTTTACTCAATGTAACAATACAGAGAATCACAGTCGACTGTTCCTCCTGCTCAGTTAGTTGACTATTTTCCCAATAACAGCATCTACAGGCCATCACACGAAAATCATTGATGAAAAAATATGGATGCAAAACAATTTTTAGACTTATATCATCATGGAGCAGATTATGCAAGTGCTACATGGCACTACCCTGGAAACAAGTAATATTCTGTTTATAAAGTTTGGGATTTTCAATTTGTTGAACAGCTAAACAAAATATTCTCGAAATCAGACACTGCCTTTGCACTTATTTTGTCCCTCAACACGAGGATCTCTCAGCCGGTCTGGTTTGGAGAGTCTGTCTATAGAGGCAGATATTTGCACCAGCATGAGGTGAATGCCTCATTTCACAGAAATAAATAAAATAGGCCTGCTTTACCCAGGGGCATAAGAAGTTGAAAAGGAGGCAAAGGCAGAAAAAAACTAGTACAGTAGCTGCATAAGAAGTGGTCCTGGAATCTGAAAGTATTTGTGACCACAGATTCCAGTGCTATGTAACAAGCACTTCACCTATCTGGCTAAATAATTATATAAGCATAGAGGAAGGAGCACAGCTTTGTAAGCAGCAGTTAAAAAATTGGAAACATTTAAAAAAAATGATTATGTAACCTTTTCATGTCTACTTATAACTACCAGTATTTACCTTATTCTTTGTTGGTTGATTCTATTTAGGCTGCAGAAAGTTCTTCCAGTTAAGAGTCAAGCGAAAAATACGACAGAACCTTTTTTTCACCTTCCTTCTTAGGATTTGGAAATTATTTTTTCTCCCCTTTATTTGGTCTTCCCACAAAGGCAATCAGTGCTGCCATGCCTGTATCTAAGAGTGCAACAGCTCCTCTCTGTTTGAGAGAAAACATTCAATCCCTTAACTATACTTTCCTGATAGCAAGCCCAGGGCTGAGAATTAAGCCTGGAGAAATAACACAATCAAACCAGTAACTTCCTTCAGCAATGAAGAACGTATAATTTTGTCACACCTTATCATACTGAAACAATTCAAAGCACTTCTCAAGTAATTGCTGTCAAATCGTAGTTACAATTTTTGCAGAAAAAATGGCAGCTATTCGCACCAGCAAGGTCTCACGAATTGCCATGAGGTGAACCGTCAAGAAATCTGGAGAACTCTTGGCTGGAATGCAGAGAGAAACTCCTTTCTCTTTTCAAGTAGCACCGTTGGATTTTTACAAGAGGCTGAAAACAGGCTGACTGGAATTTGATTTATTGTCTGAACTGAAAGACATCACCTACATGACTTGAGCACTCGTCAAGAATTGTATTGGAGTGTCAGCCTGGCCAATAAACTCAAATCCTCATATGCAGCTTGAAATCACAACCTCCTGATACAGAGACAAGAACACTACGACAGAGCCAAACTGCCACATTGTGCAAACAAATGTCCTTTATGAGACTGCTACTCTTTCCTTTCACTTTTCTGTTTTGGTTCACAAGTCACTGCTCCAGATAATATTAGTTCTGGGTTAGGAAAAGCAATGCATAAGGAAATGCCTAAAGGAGTATAATCATAATAATAATCTATACAATTGATAAAGGACCAATATGTCAACATGTCTCAAAGCACTACACAAGTAACAGCTGTCAAGTGTAGTGACTTGAGTATTTGCAGGCAAATCATTTCTGTTCATAATAGAATTATGGATGGGAATAATTGTGCTAAATGAGGGGCTAAAATAATGTCAACCATGAGAGTAACATTCACTTGATTTGTTGAATTAATTCAAACCCCAAAATGTTATTTTTTCCCCCATTTTTACAATACAAAGTGTGATTTCAATCAAATGAGAACAATGCTGACGGTTAAGTGTGGTCTCAAATCATATTGAAGACCATAAGAAGCTACTATGGCGGCCGAATATTACTGTCACAACATTCACAGAAAGGTAATAAGGGAATTAGTTTGCAGTTCTAAACAAATTTATATGGGAATTAACAGCTCAGTACAGATTATCAGAAAGTTGCTATAAAAATCAGGAAAAAAATTAGATAAGCTTTTTACGCCTTTAAATTTTACAGAGAATGAAATTGACTGTGCGTTGGATTTCTAACCAATTCATCTTTTGGCTAATCTGTTTTAATGAGAGTTTTCACGACATTAGTTTTTTTTAAAAAATCCCTCAATGACATTTCTTTGTGTGATTTATTTCTCACTTTAGAGTATTTTGCTGTTGGGTCTAAAATTGGAGCATCTTCCGAGGCACAACAAACAACAGTCAAGCAAGAAGCTAATTTTAAAAAAACATTAATGCCGGACGTTTTTCCTGCATCAAAGCACCTCAGCTACCTGCAACCACTCAAATATGCAGGTTTGAGCTAAATCAATTCACAACAGATAAATCTATGAATAGTGCTCTTTGAGAATCCTTTTATATTAGCATGTGAATTGCTACCATCACTGACTTAATCCCTCATGCCTGCACAACATTTTTCTGCAATATTTCTCTAACCTTTTTCTGAGTTTTCGTCAACTTCAACTAAATTAGTTTTGGACTTGCCTATCACGGGCCAAAGTGAAATTATACAATGGATCTCCTGATAACTCATCACTCCAAGGGAAAAGGACTCAGTGACGAGTTATCCAGAGTGGCAAGTTCGGCATATGTGTAAATACATTAATAAATGTGGCTGGGATATTGACAGAAAATAGTGAAAATGTAAGCAAGGATCGAGTTATCAGGAGAGAACTGTATTAGTATGGCCTGATCACATGCCGGTGTGCTTGAAATCAGCCTGTGTTTGGCTTCTACATTGGGATTGCGTCAATGAAGTGGAAATGATACAGCAGGAATGGTAAAGGATGCTTTTTCTCATAGAGTTCCACCCTTTCCTAAATTGCACTTTCCAAGAAAGCACTGAATCTTAAATAGAATATATTTTATGTTTTTTTTCCCAAATTTAAGATATCTCATTGGGAATAACTGGACACTCACTGGATTTAGCTTCGATACAATCTACAACAACAAGATTCCATTTAAAGAGCGCCTTTCACGTCGGGAGGACGTCCCAAGGCGCTGTACAGTTGGGTAGGACCCGAGCAGGGGGGAAAGGGTCAGGGTGAGGGGAGGGAAGGGAGGGAGCGAGGAGGGGGTAGAGAGTCGAGAGGGGAGCTGAAGGCACGGTCAAAGAGAAAGGTCTTGAGACCGGCCTTGAAGGAGGAAAGGGAGGAAGCGGCGAAGGCACTGGGGTATAGAGTTCCAAAGCCTAGGGGTTGAGAGGCTGAAGGCCCGGGCACCGATGGTAGGGCGGTTGGGGCGGGGGATGTGGAGCAGACTGGAGCCAGAGGAACGGAGGGTACGGGCAGGTAGGTAGGGGGATAGTAGATCAGAGAGGTAGGAGGGAGCAAGGCCGTGAATGGCCTTGTAGGTGAGGATGAGGATCTTGAATTCGATCCTCTGGGGGATGGGAAGCCAGTGGAGGCGAGCGAGGGTGGGAGTGATGTGGTCGCGAAGCCTGGTGCGGGACAGTACACGAGCTGCAGAGTTCTGAATGACCTGCAGCTTGTGGAGGGAGGTGCCGGGAAGGCCGGCGAGGAGAGAGTTCCCATAGTCCAGCCTTGAGGTGATAAAGGCGTGGACCAGAGTTTCAGCAGCGTGAGGGGTGAGGTAGTGCTGTAGTCTGGTGATGTTCCGGAGGTGATGGAAGGCGGTGCCAGTTGTGGCGCGGATATGAGGGAGAAAGGACAGCTCAGGGTCGAACAGAACACCGAGGTTCCTGACTGGCTTTGAGAGGTGGAGAGTGCAGCCTTGGATGCTGATGCTGTCAGTGCCTGAGGTGCGGAGGCGCTGACGTGAGCCAATCAGGAGGGCCTCAGTTTTACGCACATTGAGCTGAAGAAAGTTGTCTATTGTCCAGGACTCAATGTCAGACAGGCAGCTGTCAGGACATCGGTGGTCATGAAGTTGAGGGTAGAGGAGGAAAGGTAGAATTGGGTGTCATCCGCATACATGTGGAAGTTAACCCCATGTCTGCGGATGATGTCACCAAGGGGGAGCATATAGAGGGTGAAGAGGAGGGGACCGAGGACAGAGCCCTGAGGGACACCGCACGAGACAGTGCGGGGGGTGGAGGAAAAGCCGT